TCAGTCTATCTTTATATAATTTGAATTCTCAAAACTGATTTCAGTCTTTTCATGTTTGCCTGCTACTTGGCCATGTTGGGAAGTCTGGTCTGGTGCTGATAGCACTAGTGATAATATGATGTGAAGACTTCCTTTTACATTAGACTAATATGAAACCTGATTCTTAAACCACCTTGACATGTAATTTTTTTTTCCTTTATGTAATCTCATTGAAGTCATTGGAATTATTATTGTGGTTAAAGTTAGGGCTGTGAGAAACAGTACCATTTTGTTTTGACTTCCATTTTACCATTTTGATGGGACAGTGTTTGTTTTGAGTTTTGTTTCATTTCAAAAGCGCTGTTCCATTTTGTTTCATGAAAACTGTTTCACTGTTTCGACATTTTGCCCATAGACTATAATGGGGAAGCACAAAACTGCCTATAACTCTGTGATTTCTTGCCTGATTCAGATGAAACTTGCAGGGATGGTAGCCCCTGCTGAGGTCATGAAGCCTGCCAAGTTTCAGGGAAATAGATACAGGGGTTTCTGGGAAACTGCACCTCAAACTGTTCAGAGCAAAACTTGTGTCACTTACAAGTGTGAAGGAACAGAGAAAGCTCAGTTCAAACAATGCTTTTCATGCTGTTTTTCCATCCCTCCCTCAAAGCACTGGGATTGGAAGGGACCTCAGGGAAGGATCACAGTCACTGACCAGCTACATATGTCAATATCAGGGCAGTACTTCAGCCTCTTCCCCCTCCCTCTCCTTAGTTTCTCCTTAGCTGCAAGCAAGCGCAGCTTTGAAACTTGAAATGTTTTGAAACTTTCAAAACAATTCGAGTTCCCTCATTTTGTTTCAAGGCTATTTCAAAGCCTTCCGTTTAGTTTCAGTTTCACTGTTTCAAGCTTGAAATGAGTCAAAACAGTGTCAAAACAAAACTGCCAGCGAAATTTCGCACAGACCTATTAAACATATAAACATATATTTGCAGGATCAGAGCCTTTGGTTCTATCTGTCATTACTCTGTGGATTTTTGTATTTGATAATTATATTAAACTTCATGGCTTGGTACAGATGTTCAAAAAGCCTGAGATATGGAATCTATTTAAGTTACGCTGTTTTCTGTAACAGCATAGTTTAGATTGGTAGCAAGCAGAATGCATATTTGCCCATGGGGGGTGGTAGGGGCAAATCTTAGCCTGAGTTCTGCCATTTTAAAACCAGCCTGTGCACCAAACTTTTGTTCTGTTATGGGTATAAAACAGTTTCCAATCAAGTATACTGGTTAAAGTGTAATGTGCGTATCTGGCCGAAAACACTGGGCATTTATACACATACTTCTTCATCCCATGATGCACCAGAGCTCTGCTGCTTCGGAGAAGACTCAATTAATTGAGTCTGCTTTGCATGTGAGCTGATGTGCACCGTGCTGAGCTGAATGCAGTTGCATAAGTGGCAAAATACATGTTAGTGCACAGAAAATGGCAGTGTGCTTTTGAACTAAAGCACCAGACCTCTGATGTGTTCAAAAGTGTGCTGCTGCCATTTTCTCAGTGCTGACATGCATTTCCTCACTTATGTAACTGCAAGCATCACAGTGCCGGGCGCTTTTCAAAGTGCCTGATGCTGCGGTACTTGCATGTGTAAAAATGCCCATTATATTGTTGTCCTGAGGGGCCAGGCCAACTCTCAGGATCTCAAAATTGTGCTGTTAGGTGGGAGGGTGTGACACAATTGCACATATACACACACAAAAATCAGTTAGGCACACGCATGCACACTAGGCACATGCGCACGCTACCAACTCAGGCACATACACATCTAAGATTACTAGTCTAAGCACATGTACACTGTTGCAGAGCACGCAGGTGCCCTGCTCCTTAGGGTGGTTACAGCTAGGCAGAGGGCCATAGCAGGGAGGGGGGAGCTCAGCTGCTGGTTACCAGGGCAGCCACAGTAGTAATAAAGAAGCACAGCTGTGGGTTGCCCAGGGAACTGGGAAGTCAGCTGACTGGAAGAGGGCAGGGCCTGACCTATATATAAACCCAGGCTGAGGCCAGGGAGGCAGTTCTCTGCCAGCAGCCATAGGAGTGGGAACTCTGCCGGAGTGAGGAAAAGGGAAGAGGCCAGGATGTTGGTATGGGTGAGGGAGGGAGAAACCCTGTGACAGGCTTGAATGTGGTTATAGCCGTATGTAGCTGGATGGCTTAGTTTGTGTTGCAGCCAAGGGGCTTTGACTTTGCATTGTTGGTTTACTCTTTACAACCGGAGGATCGGGTGAAACTATTAAGGGTTGGAGGAGGCCTTATAGGGGCTCCACAGTAGCGTGGGGGTGCAGCATTTGGGGGTGCACTGACCCCAGCCCTGAGAAGGGGAGCGGAGAATTGGAGGCCAGGTAAGGCTGAAGCCGCCTGAGCCCTGCAGGGGGTTCAAGACCCCAAGGAGGAGATTTGGGGCCAGGCACGGGTACGGCCACCTGGTCCCAAGGCTGCAGTAACCCCAGAGCAAAAGGGGGCAGCGTGAGAAGCACCCCGGAGCAAAGGGGCCAGCGTGAGAAGCACCCCAGAGCAAAGGGGGCAGCGATTGAGTACCAGAGGGCACGGTTGCAAGACTAGGCGGCGGAAGACCAGAGCTCCAGGGAGGGCACAGGAAGCCTGACAGACTGAACAATGTCTGGGATATCTGCGAGGCTTGGGGCATGGTACAGGGGTGGTTGGAGCCACGCATAGCCCAGAAGGCTGGCATGCACTGAGTCACACAATACAGGACAGGGGTCAGGATTCAACAGAACTTGGCATGGTAGGGGGCACTAGGGGAGATCACGGCCACCCCTAGGACCCCGTGCCGTGACATACACCTATCACCAATTCAAGCACATACACACTATACACACCAAAAACTAGACAAAAATCAGTTGTCAATACCCACACACTCAATACACGTACATGGATCACTAATTCATATATCATGCACACAATGAGATATAGATGTCACTATTTTCCAGTTCACACATGCCACACACCTACACATACACACAGGTGAGGTCCTGACTTGGGTGGTGTGGTGTATGTGTGTGCTTGGGGTATGTGGGGTACCTAGGGTGTATGGTGACTATGGGAGGGAAATCACAGGTCAAAGATTTCCAGAAGGAGGGAGATGGATGGGGGTTAAGAGGAGAGAGGGAAAAATAAGAGAGTGAGTGTCAGGAGTGAAGTTGCTGGGGCCAGGATTAGAACCAGCAAACTTGAGGGGAAGCTGGGGTTACTTAAGGTCAAGTGCCCTAGGGTTACTTGGGGTCACCTGGGCTTGGGGTTACTTAGGGTTAATGTGCCCCAGGGTTACTTGGGGTCACCTGGTGATGGTGTGGAAGCAAGGGGAAAAGCCTGGTGGCAAGGAGGAGACAGCCAGAAAACTGCGAGGCAGGAATCTGGGAGATAACTGGAAAATCAAGGAGGAGGGTTGGGAGGTCATTAAGACAAAAATCCAACTTGGGGTATCAAAATAAAAGGTTTATTAAACAGACAACACACTACACAGCCCCACAAAGTTATTGGTTCCTATACACACAAGCACTCACATACACACCCACACAATGGTAGTAGGAGAGAAAAGGCTTGGTGGAGGGATTGAAGTCAAGATGTGTAGGGACAGAGTCCAGATCCTTTGCTTGGGGAAGGAAGGTTGGTGATAGCTACCTATCCTGGGCTGAGAGTTGATCCTTGATGGCCAGTCGGGGTCTTCTTCAGCAAGGTGCTGTCCAGAGTGGATCGCCGGCAAGGCCTCTGGGTGAATAGGTGGTATGGTGTGGTGCTGGTCCAGATGGAGAGGGCATCCCACTAGGTCTGTCTTCACTGCCCCCTTTTATAGGGGCAGAACTTCTATGACCCTAGTGACAGGGTCATTCCCAGGGAAGGGTCAGCCCCTGGTGTACTGAGCATGTGCACTCCAGGCAAGAATGTGCAGTTCCAGGTGTGTGTGTTGCAATAGCAGGTTGGCTGATTTCTGTAGGGTCTTTGTCTTTCAAATGCTGGATCCATGGTTCCTGGGTGAGTCAATGGAAGGCAATGATCTGGCCGCTGAGCTGATGATCCGGTTGTTGAGTTGATTATTCAGTAAAGGCCTGCTACCATTGTATCTCAAGCACCCTCATTCATCCCCATTCTTTCAGGAACCAATTTACATGAGATTGGTTAGACATGAGTCATAGGTTACATGTGGGCAGAGGACACAAGATGGAGACTTGACATACAAAATGGAAACTTGACATAACTGGACATTACTTATGCTAACTTACACATGTAGGCCTAAATCATGTAGTATCAACAGGGAAAAAAAGCAGTAAAAATCAGTAAAGCAGTATAAACATAATAATTATACAATATAAAACAGTGGATCAAAGGACAGAGAAAAAAATAAACTTGCTACAAAAATGCTAACACTTATCCTATGTCTTAGCTTACTCATACTTATCTATAGGGAATAGAGAGGGAGAGAAAAAGTCAGAAATGGTTGGGGAAGGGAGGGAATGTTTTTTAAAAGAAAAAAGAAAAAGAAAAACTGAGAGTTTTGCTACAATGTCTACTAGAAGATTGCATAGAATTAGAAATACACCATGCTAGATAAGAAATGAAAATCATGAAATATACACTAGTTTCATAAATCAGTTTGACAAAGTGCAGGAAGTAGTGATATAATCCCAAGTAACACAAAGTAGAAAACTAAGAAGGTAGAAAACTTTATTTAATGCATTTGGCTGTCTTTTTCAATAGCCCTGCTTTGATAGTAATAGTAATTCCATTTCAGATCAGTTAAAAATCACGAATGAGAAGAAGGAGCATTCACACAAAATCAGGCATAGAGTGCCAGTACTCTTCCTTGGAATGGCAAAGGAAAATCTTGCCTTAAGAATATTTCACAAAAATGTATGTTGATTTACAGTTGCAAAGCTGAGTGGAGCAATCTACTTGTATTGAAAGTCTGGTATTGATTATACTGAGACTGTGTTAGAAAAAGAATGTTCTCTGCCTTTAAAATTATCAAAGATGGAATGAGTCTGGGGCAATAAAACAAAGCAATATAAATTCATCAGCTCTAACTCATGCTCTTACTTTAATGGTGCTTTTCAGACTGTGACAATGTCTTGGAACAATGCAATAAAAAAAAATCTTTCACTCGTTTGTCAGAGTTCAGGTTTCACTTATCTAGAATTGCTTATCAAAGAAGAAAAACTTTGATCTGTTCTTTTTAAAACACATTTAGATTAGTAGCAGTGAATACAGCAGTATTTTCAGTCTATGTACATGTTACTGGGGAGGGGGAAACTATATTGTTATTGATTATGATAAAGTAAAACATTTGTTGTGTGAAAATTGTTTGAATTTTTTTCTCCTGAAATGGAAGTATCTCGGGTTTCTGGAATAGTGTTACAATATTTGGAATGAATGTCCCAATGAATTGCAGGATTTTTTTTTTTCTGCTTAGTACAATTTAAAGATAATTGTTTTAAGCCACTAGACTATTTGGTTTTTTGTCTTGTTTTTAATGAAGTCGCATTTGTTTGTTCTGGAGGGGGTTGTTTGGTTTTTTTTACTCTAGCCTAGGGAATCTATGATTATTTGTAATCTGATGTCATGGCATGTGGTTTTTTGTTTGCTTATTTAAATATTGAACTGTTTCTGTTTATAGATTTTTATCTCCATACTGGATAGTTGAGAATTAATATTTTTATATAGTTGTAATATGGAGGCATTTTGAGTGGCCATAATGGACCAAATTATCTTTTCAAATCCCTTAAACATATACTTTATCTGTTGGCTGTAATGTAAATGTTCAAGTGTGGGGAAGAAATGTGGGGGTGGAGAGAGGTAGAGCAGCTTTATGAATGAGAGAAGCTTTTTATTAAATGGGAGAAAATTGTTACAGTAGGTGATTGCTATACTAAAAGAGGAGTAGCATGAGTAGCTGTCTTACAAAAAGAACAGGCATGTTGGGCATGGTTTTTTTGTACTTCATTTTTTGAGAAATGATGTATGACTGTGTAAATAAGAGGTAGATCATGACTCTACAAACATACCCCAGGCAGAAGCAGCAGAGTCTAATTGTAAATCAGTCACAATTCCTCATTTATTCTTGGGACTGGTGCTTTTACAGAGAACGTGGGTCAGTTGCATCAATGGGCAAAAAGGAAGAGAGAACAAAATGAGGGCTCTTTTCACTTTCCATTCTTATACCTACATGCTTACAGATGAACGTTCTGGCTAAGCAGTCCTTACCAGAGGCACAGATTGAGCAACCCTTACTCAAATGAAAAAAGGAGTAAGCGGCTACTTACTAGAGGTAATTGTTACTCCTATCTATGGCCACATAATGGACCTAACTAAAAGAGAAAGCGGCAATGTAAAGAAAAGTGCCTCATTGCTCCATTTTTGTGGCTACCCGAAACAAAACAGAAAGCATTAGACCTGCCTAATCCATAACAGACATAATGCAGTGCTCATGCTTCCATTGAATTTTGGATCGGGCCTAGCAAGGTCATGCACAATAAAATACTTGTAGTGCTGCTAATCATGCTATTCTGACACTCATCATACTGCTTTATTATGTTGAAACTCCTGTGAAGTGCTCGTATGAGTTATTTGAACATGGGACATTTACCTGCATCTTCGATTCTGAATATCTTTGGGAAATAAATATGAGCTTAACTGGTGGGAGGCAATACAGTGTTCATGCCAGCTGCATCATGCAGCTTGCTGCTAACAAGTAACATCTGTGCTCAATCACAAGCTACTCTTTCTGGATCTCCAATGGTGCTTCAGCTTTCGGGGGGGGGGGCGGGGTTTGTATCCCACTCTAGCAAAAATAATACAGTATGCTGCTTACTGCTCTGGTTTGTTGGTTCCCCTCAAGTTACATGCTTCAGTTGCTACCTAATGTCACCTACGTCAGTGCCATTTCTCTTTGTAAGGCGGTGTGTGTGTGTGTGCGCGTGTGTGTGTGTGTGTGTGTTGGGAAACTGTTTTTTAGCCTTCAGTATAAGAATAGAGCATACTTCTGCTGCACCATCTATTTTATATTTCCAGCCAGATGTTAATGGGCTTATTCGGCAACTTTTTTAAACTACAGATTTTCTTACTAATAGGCTTGTTTTCTTAGGCCGTCAGTGTTATTGCAGGTGATAGAACTGTTCCTGTTATCTCTATAATCATATTTGCTTAGCCTCCTTTTCTGACTCCTTTTTTCTGACGTTCCCTCAAATCATGATTAACCAATTAGGACTTAGTCTTTAAAAGTTGTTGAACATCATCAATCCCTATTGATTTCAGTGAGAATTGAAATATCTTGGCGCTCTAGTAATAGGCCAAAGCCCGCTTGTTTTAAGTACTGCATAAACATAGAATGAAAAGAGAGTGGCTATACCTAAGAATGAAGCATCAGGCACGTATTTGGATCATTACTGCTTTGAGGGTAAAAACACTGAAATATACTTTTGCCTATTTTATTTTGTTGGACTGCCCTGGTTTGTTGGGATACAAATTCAGGAGTCGACAAGCTAGAGACAAGCTAGTTAAGCAGATGCCCCATTATAGCAGGAACTGTCATTGAAGCTGTATTGTAACATTCTTGCAATAAATCCATGTCCCAAGGGGGGGAAAAAGCCCCCCCCCCTTTTTTTTTGCTTTACAGGTTTGACTGCATTTTTTGTTTTCATAAATGAGCAAAGTACTGGGGAAGGTTAATGAGAACTGGATTCCATTTTCTAATTCATTCATTGAGACTGCAAAATTACTCCATTTGTGCTTTTGCATTTTTGAAAATTCAGCTGTTCCTGCTGTTTCTAATAGAGGTGCTGACTGTGTCATTGAGGAATTGGATATTACAGGAAAAAATGGTGCCGATATATCCCCTGCTGCCTGCTCCCTGAAATAAAATCAAAGGTGCAAAGCTTCAGATCAGAATCAAATTCTGAAACTCACTATTTTTCTGGAAAATACCAAGTCAATGAAGTAAAACCTGCTTTATCAACTGTTAGAGACAAAACTGACGGTGCTACAATCTGGTTGTTCTTCTCTGCAAGGGATGTTCTACAGTAGTCCTAGATTCAAGGCTGCACGGTTTGCATATGAATTGACAGTTTATAGATATGCTCACTAGTGGATCCATGAAGAGGATAAGGTGGTGGAGGGCTGGTAAGCAGTCCATCTTAAAAAGTACAGAGCACTTTGACCTAAGCAAACATACTGTTTGCTGCTCACTTGCCGTACAGGTAGGGGGCAAGAGAATAAAAATGAACAATCGGACAAAAATTACACTGCCTCAGTTTTGTAGCAGGCAAACTTTGAAACTTCAGAGTTGCTTACCAACATGTTTTAAGTAATGAACACCTGCCAACCACAGCAGGAAACATTACAAAAGGCATCGCACAAACCTGATCGCTACAAAAAATGCACCCCGTCAGGGAGGCAGGAGAGCTGAAAATGAAACTTGCTTAGATTGTATACTTTTGAGATGCCTGCTGCAGGTAATTAAAATAATGACTTCTTTACATCTACTGGAAGATGCAGTCATAAATGAAGCAAGGACCTGAAAGCAAAACAGTTAAATTATCAGTGATTAAATATTTGGGCACCCTTGGCTTTTGTCTTATGCGGTGACCATTTCAAATCTTCCTTTCTCTCTCCTTTGCTGAATATCTACATTTCCCATAAAAAGTCAACACCAAGGATAAATGCTTGCTTTGCCTCCTGTTTAAGGGTTCTGTTGTACTTACCTTGTGAATTCAGCACTTCTGCTTGTGCATTGGAGCTGAGAGGATTTGAATAGTAGACTACACTTGCCTTTATAGACTGACACCCCAATTCTGCAATGATTTATATAGCAGGTGAACTTTATACAGTGTGAGTAGTTCCATTTAAATTAGTGAAGCTACTCTGTGTGTGTAATTAAGTACATCATAAGTCTTTGCCAGATAGCAGCCTAAGGATCTGGTACCTGAGAATTCCAGTTGAAAATTGTAAACTCGTTGCAGGTGGCCAATTAGATTTTGGAGCGGAGCAGTAGGTCAGTGGATCCTTCTGATGTCTGGCTGACTTCCCCAGGAGAAACCAACATATTGTATATTGTAACTTTTAATTTATTAAATGGGTAGTGAAAACAATGAATGCGCTTCTGTAGCGGCACCTTATCATTGTGAATAAACAAAAAACAGGTGAAAGACTGTGATGAATTCTAGTAGGTATCCTATGCCACATGAAAAGTGTTTTAAAAGAAATAGTCCCAGGAAACTTCTTCTCTTTTTACAGGAATTAATAAGGGTATAAAAATTTCAAACATGAAACCTAGCCTTAAATAAGTATACTTGTCTCTGAGTACAATACTTTTGGCAACATTTATTCCTCTTAAATACTGCCATTAAAACAGCTTTGATATATGTGTTGTTCCTTAGATTTTACTTTGAAAGCCTATGCAGAAAAAGAGCTAAATCTGTTGAAGATCCTCTTGAATATGCAACTCAAATTAAGAACAAGCTGAAGAGTCCTAGTACATGTTTCATTCTCTGTGGTGAAACTTGGTACTATAACTGGGTGTTTACACCCTTGTATCCTACCTTTTAAGTGGCCCAAAGAGTGCAATCAAAGTCTGTCATTGAATAAATAAAATGAAACATGGTTGCTTTCATAGCAGATAGTTGGCTGCCAGTCAGGGGAACCCAGTAATAGATATGCGTGACTCAATGACTTCTGGTGGGGTTTACTAGTAAACACGAATGGAGAGACGATCAGGATTTGGAGTCAGGAGACAAGTTTCCCTAAGACATTTTCATATCCCTCTCTGTCTATCCCAAAATATCTTATATATTGAGTCTAGGTACTGGGGATGTGTTCTTTTTTTATTTTTTCCCTTTGTGCCACCTCCTGAAATTAAAATTTGAGCATTGCTTCTCATGCTAATGCATCTGATCTATAAAGACTTAACCTGGTTTAGGTAAAGCAGATTGTTTATATTAAGGTTAGGAAATGGTCAGGAATATTAATTGATAAAGAAAGGCAGTGAACTCCAAGACTTATTCCACTGTCATTTAATGATGCGAAGGAACTATAAATTTAAAAACCATACAAAGAAGGATGTATAGGATCCAAGGTCATCATGCATTGCAGTTTGGAAGATTTTTTTCTAAATTTTAATTAGTTTGAAATAAAATATGGTTTCTCTCTGTTTTCTGTGTGCTTGGGAACTATGGAGA